ATTATTTTTAAAACGAAAACGGAAAATCTCCGTTTTCAAAAATACCCGTGTACGTGTGGACGTAGCCTCAGTCTCTGACTGGAAGCGCTAATTCGTCATTCGGCTTTTGTCAGACTAAAGTAACTGTTAAAACTGTTTGAAAAGCTAAGCTATACAACAAGGAGAGATTGAGAATTTCCTTTTAGTTCTCAGTTTATTTGATATTGACAAAAGTTAGTCAGTTTTGTCTGTTCTTCTGTAAAACAAACTAAGATTTATTTTTAGAATTAATATTTTGTTTCTAAGTGGAATTGACAATTTAGTCTGTTTCGTTTGTTCTATTTTGAAACTTAAACGCTTTAGCGGCTGCCTTTTGTGTAGTTTGCAATATTTGCCTTTATTTATCTGAAAAAGTCTCATGTTCCTTAAGTACATCTACCCTGTTGAACTTATTATGGGAAATAAATATTTAAATAAAAACAAGCTGCTGATTATTTCACATTTTACTTGTGAGCAACGGCACATTTAAATCTTACAAATATAGTTATTTGGCTTATATCGTGATAGATATCGTTATCACCTGAAATGAAAAAAACATATCGTGATATGAAAAAATCTCATATCGCCCAGCTCTACTTAAGTGTAACTAACATAAGAAAATCAGATCATTCTAACCTTATCTGGTCAGCTTTGATTTAGGTAGTAGGTCTGTGTTCACCTAATTAAAGTGACCAAAACAAAAATTCTTGTTGATTAATGCAAACATAAATATTTCATTATACTGAATTAAGTTCTATTTACATAAGTAAGTTAACCATATTTAGTAAAACCAATCAAACAATACTTTGCAGCTCTTAAATTAGTGTGGCAATCACTGGATTTTATTTTACTTAACTTGTTTTAACTGGTATAACCGTAGTAGTTTAAAGTTGATTTACTAAACCAGGATATGTCAACAATTTCCACAGAGTGTAGTTAAGTTACGGCACTTTAGTGGAACAAACATTTATTACTAATGAAGCAGAGATATCTCTGAGTATCAATAAACATTTTCCTTCTTCTATATCGGGCGTAATGTTTAACAGTTTTCACTAAAGAGCAAATAAGTAGGAAAAGTGGTTCTATTTCACTTTTACATTAATAAGATTATAGCTGGTGTTTTTCTATGCTGTGTTAATATTGTGTCAAATGCTGTTTAAAAAGCAAGCCAACAACAAATGGACTCTGTAGCAGAAGGGAACTACACATACCAAGTTTTGGAAAAACAGAAAATAGTTAAGGTACGCAACCCTTGTGACATCTCTTATTGCCCCGTCTTTCATGCCAATCTGTTACATTCTCCATTTTTTATTTTTCACCCTTCCCTCTCCATCCATCCATTCTCCAACTGTCTTAGGGCGAGAGGCGGGGTACGCCCTGGACAGGTCGCCAGTCTGTTGCAGTCAGAGCTGGGAGCCCCCTTCCCTCACCAACATAAAATGAAAATCTCATATTAAAAATCTGAAAGTCTGCTAAAACATATCCAGACATCATTTCTTGTTTTTGTTTTAGCTCTTGAGCTTTTGTTGAGAGACAGTTTCCATCAAGTTCCATGACAATTGTTTGTAAAACCTCAAATGTCTACTTAAGCTTTGTGGGGTAGCTCAAGACCAGTGAGTAAAGGAGGCCAAACAACATGGCGACTACATTTGCAATGTTACCAAAGTCATGAAGCACTTCGACACCTTCAGTGATTATTCCAACAACTTCAAGGTCATCTGTGGGTTCTGCTTCCATCTTAATGGTGAAGATTCCCAGGATCATTTGCCGCATTGCCTAATAGTTGTCATTCTCAAAATAAAAAGAAATAAATCTTTAGCCAGAACACAAACCTGCAAAAAAACATTCTCTTTGCTTCCACAAAGCAAAGCTGTGGAAAGCAGAGGCCACTAAACTTACAGTGTCCTCCTTTATGAGAGTTTCTGGGTCTTCACTGAGATAAACAATTCGTGCTTTTAGTACACGAGCTCTTTTAGTTTCAATGGCAGCAGCCTGCAGCAAAGAAAAGGGCAGTGTGTAAGGTTATTGTTGTATTGTGCCGTAAAGAACACAAGAAAAAAAATAAAAGGAAAAAACACAAAAAGTAATCACTGAAAAGTCCAAAATAACTGAAATTTTTAATAGTTTCTGCAGCTGAAAGTAGCAGTTTAAACAGTTTAAATCTTAATTTTAGGAAGATTTTTCAAAATCGACTTTGTAAAAAATCTCTTGAGAAAAGGTTATTACAGAAAGAATAACAGGAACAAATGCCAGAAGTTATAGCACCCAAAAAAGAACCCATACAGAGTTCAGAATAATAAAGAGTAATTGAGTAACAGTTGCACTCAAATAATAATAACAGAATTAATTGAATACAAAAGTATATTGATGAACAGACATTTGTTAGAAAAACAACAATAAAAAAACACCTTGTCCAAGTCTGCCTTGATGTTCTTAATTTTTTGTCGCAAAGCTTGTCTTTTCCTTTGGAAGAATTTCATTAGCTGCAAGGAGCGGTGATCTAACTGCTGCATGAATGTCAGTGGGACAGTGGTGATGTGGGCAAACTCTGCTTCCACCTATAAACATGTAATAATTACAGTAAAAAAGTGCTGTGGACCACAGCAATCTGATGTAGGATAATGATAACAACAATGAAATGCATTTTTATTTTCTGATTCATTTTAGTTAAAACAAGTCAAAATAATCAGAAATGGCAGTGGTGCTCTTTCTTAACTACAAACCAAATTTGAAAATGACAATTTCCAGCTCTGGGTGAATATTCACGAAAGATCTGAAACCTTTATAAAATAAAAAAGGGTAATAATAATAATAATAATAACTGATCTCAGTGGTATCCCACATCACTACTAGAGAGAGCTTCTGAGCACGTGTGATGTTTTCTCAGTGTGATATGATACAGGACTTTGTAAAGAGGCAGTTTGGATTGTTGAATTCACTCAGCCCTGTTATGTTGTATCAAACAAAGTGGGTTCTGTGACTGTAGCTAGTCCAAAATTTGAGTTAACGCTATAATGCCCTTTGTATCATATTTGATACATGAGTTTCTGAGACCCCTATCTCATCAGCATGATCAATACTTGCCATGATTTCAAAATGTTATGGACAAAACTCTTTTTTGTCTAAAATTAAAATTGTTGTTAACAAAAAGTTGCAAAAAATGCCCAATGTATCAAATATATACAAAAATATATAATAAATATATAATAAAAATATACCATATGCAAAATGATATAGCAAAAAAAGTGGATTTTGTTATAAGGGTTATTAAATATCTGAGTTCCAAAAAAATCTGAATTTTCTGGCTATTTTTTGATGGGTTGGATCTTACAGGGTTAAACTTGGTAAAGTGTAGTGATGTGTCGGTTGCGAACGAAATGGCTCTTAGAGCCAGGTCTTTGACGTGAACGACGCGAGCCGGCTCCTTATCGCGAGCCGTGGTTTGTTTGTTTTTTCCTTTCTCTCACCAGAGCAGAGGGAGAGACAGAGAAAGAGCCAGGGACAACAACGTCACATTAGAAAGGTATAGTAATTATCCACAACTATTTTCAGTTGCGGATGATAAAGGATTAAGGTTTATTCATGCAGGCCCATATGACAGAGAATATGCATCTTCTTTTTGTTTTCATATTTTAATTTATATTTAATTGTGTTGTGGTTTGCAGTGTTTTGTGTTGTTTCACTTTAAATTTGTTTAAAAGGAAAAAGCTGAAAATTTAAATAGTTAAAAGTTGAACTGTGACTAGTTGGTTTTTGTATTATATGATTTATTTATTACATTTTATGTGGAGTGAATAAATAAAAGTATATTTACGGTGGCCCCTAGAGACAAAGCACGTACAAACTCCAAAACACGTAAAAACTCAGAAGCACGTAAAAACTCCAAAACACGTACAAAACACAACAGAAGTGCTCCAGGATGCTAGGGGGCAGTGTTGAGCTTTTGTTACCTAGTGGCTACACAAGCCAGCAAGTACCAACGACCGGATTTGGTGTGTGGTAGTAACAGGTAAATGAACATTTTTTTTAAATTTTGAATATATATGAGTGCTTGTGTATAAATACACAAACAATACACATATGCTTTCAATTGTGTAATTTAAGTGATCTAGGTAGCTCTGTTTTGGAAGTTCAGTTAATGCTAAAAATTTGTTTTGGAGTTTGTACGTGCTTTGTCTCTAGGGGCCACTGTACATATTTATATATAAACATATATAAATAAAACCACTTTTTTTACATTAGTAATTCCTTTTTGTGCATAATTTTATATTATTGTTAATAATAAATTAATTAAAGCAACAAAACAACCTGAAGAGCCGGTTCGGAGCCGAAAGAGCCGGCTCTTTTTCGTGAGCCGAACCGAAAGAGCCGGTTCTCTAAAAAGAGCCGGAAATCCCATCACTAGTAAAGTGTGATATGTTTAAAATGCCAACAAATTCATCTGAGTTAATTTGTGTGTAGCTGCATTTATTTAACTGAATAACTCCCAGTTGACTTCTTTGAGTGAACGGAGCACACTCGTTACAGTTACAGTTATTAACGTGTCTAACATTACTAACGTGTTTAAGTACTGATTTTGGCAGAAATGATGATACAACATGGGAACAAATTCATGACTAGGTGTAGCAGAGTAACAGCCAACCAATAGACTTAACAGACATGAAATGCATGCTGCTAAACATGTGTTAACAGACGTCTCTGCTGATTCTCTGTCTCTCTTCCACAGCATGTCTTCTATCCTGTCTTCCTTCTCTCTCCCCAATCGGTCTCAGCAGATGGCCCCGCCCCTCCCTGAGCCTGGTTCTGCTGGAGGTTTCTTCCTGTTAAAAGGGAGTTTTTCCTTCCCAGTGTCACCAAAGTGCTTGCTCTTAGGGGATGATTGTTGGGTTTTTTCTCGACTGTTGTTGTGATTTGGTGCTGTATAAATAAAATTGAATTGAATTTAAATGATTACGATTTTAAATGCTTTGAAATGGGGAAGAAAACCCAAAACACATGGTAGAAAAAGGAATACTACCATCTGCCTAGATCATAGAATAACAAGAATGGAAAAGAAGCATCCAATGATCAGCTCAAGACAGATCAATGATCTCCATTTACCTGCGAGTACTTCAATAATCAGAAGATGCCTATGTGAAGCCAAGCTATTTGCAAGAAACCCTCGTAAAGTACCATTGATGAAAAAAGACATGTATTGAAAAGGTTACAGTTTGGCAAAGAACACACTGACTGGCCTAAAGAGAAGTGGCGCAATATTCTGTGGACAGATGAGAGCAAGATGGTTCTTATTAGGTGTAAAGGCCACTGAATACAAGCCACAGCACACTGTGAAGACTGTAAAACATGGAGGTGCAAGCACCTGGGGATCTTTCTCATACTTTGGAATAGGGCCCATTATCACATAAGAGGCAGCATGTACCAGTGTCAGTACCTAAAAACACTGAAAGAGGTCATGTTGCCGTATGCTGAGGAAGAAATGCCCTTAAAATGGGTGTTTCAGCAGGACGACGACCCCAAACACACCAGCAAGCAGGCAACATCCTGGTTGCAGACAAAAACAGATTGATGTTATAAAGTGGCCGGCCCTATACCCAGACCTCAATCTGATTGAGAATTAGTGGAATGACCTCAAAAATTGTCTTCTTGATGCAAAACCCAAGAATGCAGAAGATCTGTTTAATGTAGTCCAGTCAGCTTGGAGGCAGGTGTCAAATATTTGTTGACTCCATGCCACACAGATGTAAAACAGTGATCAGAAATAATAGTTACACAACTTAATATTAGTTGTGTGCTTAAAGGAAAAGCAAAATCCTCATTTTAGTTTCTACTGTAAATATTCCAGTTTGTAAATGAAAATGCAGACACTTCTATTTTTGTGAACCTAATTTTCTTTTTCTTCATTTTCAGTAAAGAAAAACTTGTTCATGTTTTCATTTGGGATTGAATGTGCACAGCTCCAGGGCCTTTGTATATATGGAAAAAAATGCTATTAACTGTACCATAGACAAAACTGAAGGCAGAGACAAATCAAGAAACCGAAAGCTGCTGCAGCAAAGGTCCGACAGAGCATCTAGACTTCAGTCAGTCACTGACTGCCAAAGATTTTCATTGTTTTTAAAAAAAACGATCAAGGGCTGAACCATTTTCTAATAGGGGAGGGAGGGTAACACTGCAATATATTCATTTTTTAGAATTTATATTCAACGTTAATTGCAGCTAGGCTCAAAGTGTTAATGCTAACTTATTTTAATAAACATGTCATATGCAAACAACTAGGGTGTGGCAAAGATTATTTTAGGGTGGCACATGCCCACCCCATGCCACCCCTGTAGATCCACCCCTGTCAGTACTGAACTTGCTGTCTCAGAAAGTGAAAACCAAACTAGAGCTCAAAGTGGACCTAAAACAAGGCTGAAAATAACAGGCATAAACACTGAGTTTGTTCTTAGAAAATCTTTCTGTATTTACAGGTTTGAACAGACAAGCAGGTACAGACAAAGAGTGCTTATATACACAGCAGCACAAGATGTTAAAATGAGTGCTAAAACTATACGGTATTTACAGATGGACTACAGCGGAAAGTACAGACTAAGAACAAGTTTTATCACAAAACGTCTGGTACTCTACACAGTATCACAAATTCAATGAGCTGTACAGTTAAAAACCAAAAAATGGCAAATCTACATGAAATCCAATGTTTCTCCAATCGAGAGGCACTGAATTAAAATGTATTTACATTATATATACATGTTATAGTGTATAAGCATGTATGTTTTCATACATATATAGCTACCTGTGGTGCAAAAGCAGCAAAAGAAATTAGAATGTATGGAATTGAATACTACAAAGGAAAAAAAACAAAAAATGTTTGTGCTAAATGGGCTGACTGACAAAAAGGTTACACCATACATAACTAATATACTGGCAAAAACAAAGATTGAGCCCAAGGAAGTAATGTTTGCTCAAAGTCCTAACGGTTACGTCAGTCATTTAAAAGAAAAAAGAAAAAAAGAGATTGTCAATAATACTTCAAGTTCATGCAAAGATATAAACCATTAAAACAAACAAGCAAAAAAGAACTTTTCCCTGTTGACCAACCAGCTGTGCAGCTTTCCCTTCATCGTGACACAGAAGGTGCAAAATAAGAGGGAGGGCGGGGCTTCCTGTGCGGATTATGGAACAGAGTTAGAACGCAGTACGGGCACTTGGTGGGGAGGTACAGTCTCAGAGTCAGCCTCATCCTGGTTGGAAAAGCCGCTTGTTGTGGCAGTGCTGGGTGGTGGTGGTGTGGAGGTGTTAGCGGTGGTGCTGAGGGTGGTGCTGATGACACTGCTGCTGCTGGTGTTGGTGCTTGTGCAACTGGCAGCAGGTGTAGTGGCCTGCTCCTCTTTGGGCTGCTTACTGGCAAACTCAGTGATGCTAAAGACAAATTGGAGGCAGCCCAGTTTGATGTAGCTGCCATGGTGGAGCAGGGCCGTGCCCTCCCAGCCCGCCCCGCTGCCTCCAATTAGACTGGAGCTACTCGCTTTGCAGCTACAAGATGGCTCAGCACCACCCTGACGTTGGCTACTCATCACTCCTCCTACTGGCAACAACCCCACCATGGAGTTGGCTCCCTCGTCCTCTTCCCGTTTCTTACTGCGACCTACGCAAAGAAGAAATGCAGCAGGTCTGAGAAAGACGTCTGTCCAGACTAGTGTCACAGTAAACTCCATTAATGTGGAGACAATGCAAGCATGAAAAGATTTCACTGATTACATTTTATCCACAAAATAAAAATTAACACTTTGTTTTGAAAATGAGACTAAAATCATGTGGAAAGCTGAACTCTGACAAACATGTTTTACACTCATTATCTATAAACAGTTACAGAGAAATCTGATTTAATGCTGTTTCACACTGCAGCTCTTTACTAATCAAACATCTGTCCAAATGATCTTTAATAACAGATTAAGACTGGAAGCTTTATGTGATACAGCAACATTCAGACTTTACATAACGTGGTCTGCCACAGAACAAGTATATCTGACTGCTCATTTTACACTTTATTTACCTTTCTCATTGCTACAATGCCACATGCACCAAGTTTACCACTGTACTGTACGTTTACTGCATCCTTACTTTTACTTTGAAATTGCAATAGCTAATAATAAGCCAGCCTGTTCTTTCCCATTTGGTGTTTTCTCTACCAGCAGGCTCGCTGGCTAGATCGCCATTATGGATGGAGATGAACTCCAACACCAAACTCATGGCTTGTTTTTTTCCCTGCACTTCAAGCTGGCACTCTAACCAGAACCTACAACAGACGGAGAACTGGTTCGTGTGCAGTTCTCCAACAATGAGAATACAATGAGCTCACTGGGACTCAGAGCAGAACAAGAGCCAGCAGCTGCAGTCCAAGAACATGGGCTGACTGAAGACAGCTAATGATGATGTTCACTTATTTATTTTAGTTTTATATTAAGCTAATATTAGTCACTTAAAAATAAGCACGCATAGCTCAGCACATCTCATAGACTACTCTAAGGTATGAATTACAGCAAGAAGGTGATAAGTTTTCTTGTCATTGGTTCACTGCACTGCACAAACTAATTACATGTACCCATTAAGAATGACAAATGTGACCTTGACCACAATTTGGATGAAGAACACTAAAAGCTGACCAATACTGCAGAGCAGTGTCAGCGTAACAAACAGGACACTGACATTAAGCACATGGGGGGCTACACTTCTATTCAGTATTAGAGTATAAATTAAAGTATTCCTTTAATTTACAGAAGCAATGACGTTATGATTTCTTCACAAATAAAATTGTAACTATTTTAAACAGAACACATACAGATGAGTGGCTAAGTGGAAGAAGATGGATGGATATTCATAAAAGGTTCATACAAAATCTATGAGTGACGACCTCATCAGCAGTCCAAGTCAAACTGGGCACACAGACCTGGGTTCCTTCAAGCCAATCCAAACAGATGACGGAGATGTACTTACGAATGATTCCTTGGACTTTGGCTACCAGGCCACCGGGTGGACATGGTGAGGTCTTCTCAGAGAAATCGCACGAGTACAGGACATTATCCACTGTGGTGCCATGCTCGCTATAGTTCAGAAGCTCATAATGCTTGGTATTCTGAAGGACGACAAACACACATCTTGGTCATTTACATCTTGGTCACTAACAACCACAGGAGTGCTCTGCAGAGTGATGTAGTTTAACAGCCTCACCTCGTCATAGAAAATACAGGCATGTTTCCCCGATACGTAGTTGCAGTGACCGTAGTTTGTAAGGCACACATCCATGTCAGCACCTTAGAGAAACAGTTAAAGACTTAAACACCCTTTCCCACAACACAAAGAATACAGATTTGCAACATGGATTTTTTTTCTGCAGTATTGACGTGTCAAAATGTATTTTAATGACCTGCACTCCAATGTGACATATTGTGTTTTTGTTCAGTAGTTTTTATTCCACATGGTCCTGTTGTGACCCTCACAGGTCTAAGAACTTACTTTCACAGCCAACTTGCTTAAAATACTCTGATTTAAAGATGACGGTATCAACTATCACTCGACCTGACTAATGATGCAGAGATTGTGATATATTATTATATTAAACTCTAAAATATGACATTACTGTCATGTATTTGAAAAAAAAACTAAGCCAAAATGTAGAATTAGTGTATGAAACACTAAGGAAACCCTTGTTGCTTCCATAGAAATAAAGATGACAAGTAGCAGGTACATACTGCTAATCAAACATAATTGATTAACTTATCAGCACGAGTGACCACCTCTATAAAAACCCAGAAGCATTCTGGTGTGTACATAATGCCAAAGAGGAAAGATGTCTTAAAGCAGCGGTCCCCAACCCCCGGGCCTTGGACCGGTACCGGTCCGTGAGTCGTTTGGTACCGGGCCGCAAGAGTTGAGGCTCAGGTGTGAAATATATGGTTTTCAGCGTTATTTTTTATCGTTTTTATCGTTGACTCGGTTTTCCTGGGTCTTTTCACGTGTGTTATGAATAAATCTTTTTTTCGGTACCGGTACTAGTTTTATTTTGTTGTATTTATCCGCGACACCTTAAAGGCCGGTCCGTGAAAATATTGTCGGGCATAAACCGGTCCGTGGCGCAAAAAAGGTTGGGACTGTAGGAGTACAAAGTAAAATTGGTTACATAATCAAAGAGTTGAAAGGGACCTGTCTTAAAGGATAAATGAGTGCTGCATGTCAGTATCTGAAGTTGCATGAAGCCAGTCCAAACACGCTCATAATTCTACCATGAGAAAGATTATTCACTATTCAAGTGGAAAACATGCAAGACAGCTGCAAAATATTCCCAGGAGTTAAAGTCCAAAAACAGTCACCAAGGATCAGGCAGTGCAATGACTCCAAGCACGTCAGCAAATCTGTCTGGTGGTTCTGCAAGCTGATGAATGATGGGGTGTTGTTAGTTTTTCCACACACTGCTTCTGCATCACTTCCCATTTTTATATCTGTAGGAGTGACTAGCTCAGGTCCAAGGTACACCTGCTGTGTTGGCAACTTTGCGTATCACCGGCAATGCCATCACACAGCTATATCCATTCATGCTAGCTATTACGGTGCATGTACGTGCTGCAGTATTCTTCTGAACAATAGGTGTTGCCCGTCCTCCAAATCAGCGCTGGTAGAGAAGGAGAAGAAGTCAAAGTTGGAAGCCAAGGAATTTTAAAGTTTTTGCCATGTTTCAACATCTCCCTCTGTGAAACCTGTGAACCTCTAAACTTCTGTACTGATATGATGTTAGGATGCCATTAAAAACAGACTTTAACCCAGCTGCAGCAGCAATGGAACGATGCATCATAAAAATGGAGCAGTCCCCTCTGCGAATCCCTAACTTGTTGTGGTGGAGGGGTTTGTGTGTCCCAGGGATCCCAGGGGCTATGTTGCCTGGGGGCTTTTGCCCCCTGGTAGGGTCTGCCATGGCAAATTGGTCCTGGTTGAGGGACCAGACAAAGAGCGATTCGGAAGACCCCTATGGCAAGACCATCGAGGGAACAGTTCACCCTGCCCGGGATAGGGTTATTGGGGCCCCGCCATGGGGTCTGGCCGGGCACAGCCCGAAAGAGGGACATGGGCCCATCTTCCTGCAGGCCCACCACCCGCAGGAGGTACGGTAGGGGTAGGGTGCATTGTGAGCCAGGCAGCGGTCAGGACCAGCAAACCGTCAGGCGACTCAGGAGGGGAAAGCGGTGTTCAACCTGCACTGTGTATGTGCGGGTGCAGTGCTGCTGACTTAGACTGAGAAAATTGCCGGGCGGTGGAAGGAATAGTTCGAGGACCTCCTTTGGGGGCGAGGTCACTGAAGCAGTTAAACAATTCCTTGGTGGCAGAGCCCCTGGGTTGGATGAGGTCCACCCTGAGTTCCTGAAGGCTCCAGATGTTGTAGGGCTGTCTTGGTTGACACACCTCTACAATGTTACATTGAGATCAGGGGCCGTACCTCTGGATTGGTAGACCAATTGTGGTTCCAATCTTTAAGAACGGGGACCGGAGGGTGTGTTCCAACTACAGGGGAATCACACTCTTCAGCCTCCCTGGGAAAGTCTATGCCAGGGTGCTGGAAAGGAGAGTCTGTCTGTTAGTCGAACCTTGGATACAGGAGGAAGAATGCGGTTTTCGTCCTGGTCGTGGAACACTGGATCAGCTCTTCAGCATCTCAAGGATACTTGAGGGTGCATGGGAGTTTGCCCAACCAGTCTACATGTGTTTTGTGGACTTTGAGAAGGCATTCGACCGTGTCCCTCGGGGAGTCCTGGGAGTATGGGGCGTCTGGTCCATTGCTACGGGCCATTCAGTCCCTATACAACTGTTGCATTGGTCCATATAGCCGGCAATAAGTTGGACTTGTTCCTGGTGGGTGATGGGCTCCACCAGAGCTGCCCTTTGTCACCAATTCTGTTCACAATTTTTAAGGACAGAATTTTTAGGCGTAGCCAAGGGGTGGAAGGCTTTCACTTGGGTGGTCTCAGGATCTCATCTCTGCTTTTTGCAGATGGAGTTGTTTCTGCTGGCTTCATCGGGTGATAGCCTCTGGCTTCCCTCGGAATGGTTCGCAGCAGAGTGTGAAGCGGTGGGAATGAGAATCAGCACCTCCAAATCTGAGGCCATGGTTCTCAGCCGAAAAATGGTAGAGTGCCCACTCCGGGTCAGGGACAAGTTCCCGCCAAAGTGGAGAAGTTTAAGTATCTCAGGGTCTTGTTCACGACAGACGGGAGCAGGAAATCGACAGACGGATTGGTGCGGCGGCCGCAGTGATGTGGACGCTATATGGGTCTGTTGTGGCGAAGAGAGCTGAGTGTAAAAGAGATTGCGGATACAAGTGGCGGAAATGGGCTTCCCCCGAAGGGTGGCTGACCTCTCACTTGAGATAGGGTGAGAAGTTTGGCCATTTGGGAGGGGCTCAGAGTAGAGCCGCTGCTCCTCCACATTGAAAGGAGCCAGTTGAGGTGGTTCGGGCATCTGACAAGGATGCCTCCTGGGCGCCACCTGGGTGAGGTGTTCCGGGCATGTGCCACCGGAAGGAGGCCCCGGGGCATACCGAGATTATATCCCTCGGGTGGCCTTGGAACGCCTTGGTATTCCCCCAGACAAGCTGTAGGAAGTGGCTAGGGAGAGGGAGGTCTGGGCTTCTCTGCTTGGGCTGCTGCCTTCGCAACCCAGCCCCGGATAAGCGGAAGAAAATGGATGGATGGATGACCAGCAGAGATGACAGCTTACAACATGTAACATCAATTTTGCTATACGGTGACATTTGCCAGGCACCACACAGCAGGTATGATGGGGCCCTACCTATGTTCTACTTCGGTCTTACTAAACTTTAGTCACAAGGCAAGAATATAACCTAAATCAAACATGATTAACTGGAGTTTGGTGAACTGGTATAATTTCAAAAAACTCTCCTACGTGAACCTTTCCCCATCAAAGGTGAAACCTAAGAGTGGCTCAGAGCCAGGGCACAGAATGCAGCAGGGTCAAAGTCACAGCGACTGAATGTCCTACCTGATCCTATGTGTAACGTCCTATAGCACATGCTGACAGCTGCTCCTCTTCCTGTCAGAGGGTAAAAGACCGCTCTGGCTTGCACCTTTTTCTGACCTGGGAGGAGGAGAGTGTAGGTTTTAATAATTAGAACAAAACAGCAATCAAACAGCAGAAAAACGGACTTCTTGACAAGTAAACAGACTAAACTGTAGTGCAAAGGTGTCTTACTGTTTGGGTGGGGTGCTGAGGTTTTTGGGGTAGTGCTGGTGGTGGGGGGAGGTTGAGTGCTGGGCACTTTGGGAGCAAAGAGCTGCTGGATCCTCTGATAGGCCAAGAGCTTGATCATCTCTGCATCCAGTTTGTCCAGCTCGATCCCTGCACACACACAAACACACACAACCGCTAGAAGCTAATTACATCTTTGTGTGCTTCATAGCAGAACACAGCAATACGAAGGCTCTTAAACTGTCACATGTGGCCGCAGAGTGACAAACTCACCCCCATCCTCCTCTTTTCCATCCTTCATGCAGCTGGACAGGTTGGTGATGGAGGGCAGTGTGTTGGGCAGCAGTGAGTCCGTCAGTGCAGGAGCAGCCTTTATGTCTGAGGGACAGGAGAGGAAAAAAGAGACAAATTGATGAAATGAGATAAAAGAAGGACCAGAAAAAAGACAGTTTTTGATAGTTCACTATAAAGGAAAAAAGTGCACAGGAACTATTACTGAGATAGAAGGCAAAGCAAGTTGTATCTGAATAAGTTTTTTTTCTTCATAACTCAGTAACTGAAAATAAAATGTGCTCTTAAATGGCCATGTATCCTTTTGGTAAATGGGGCTGCACGACACAAAATATGCAAGAAAACTCTTAGCACCATCGATTATGTCAGCAGTGAGTATTCAATTAATAGCAACAGTAAACATTCAAAAGAGAGAAAACTCAGGTCTTTTAAAATGAACTTTTCATTTGTTTCCACTTTAGAAAATGCTTGTTTTGATAGTTTAACAATACACAGTATCTGCCAAAAGAGCTCAACTCTTTCACTGTATTTACATCCCATATCACAATCACATTTCCACTTTCTTGAAGAAACATTTTCCTAAAGACAAAAAAAACTGATAAATTATTAGAAATAGAAATAACAGAATCACAATTTTAAGTGATCTGCCAAACAAAATAAGCTATGCATCCTAGACTGAGGCATGAAATAAAAAGGCCTTCTTCCCATCTGCTTGGAGCTCTTTCTTACATTATAAGGGGGGAAAAAAAAAGAGTTCTGACAGTATTGCATCTTCTGGATGAAGCAGAGTTGGTCAGTGTGCACGCGTGTGAATGCATGTGTGTTAAAGTGTGCGAGTGAATGTGTGTAAGCCTTCAAACAAGCATGTAGTGCCTGCAGTGAAGAAAGGTGAGCATATAACCATTCTCAGTTCTGAGGCCTTCTCTGTGCTTTAATGCAAAACAGACGTTATGAAAGTGGAGATGTTAATACTAATAATAATTCAGCCTAACAGCATGACTATTAACACAATTTCTTAAAGTTAAAAATGTATTTAAATTAATATAAATACGCAAAATAATGTTGCTATAGCCTCAAATTAAATGTTCTCTCATGCACACCATGGCCCCCGTTACACGTATAATGAGGAGAGAGTAACATAATGATTACTTGAGTATATTATTACTATTATTATCATCCTTATTATTATTAGCTGTATAAAGTGATACATTTAGACTGCAGCTTTGACATTTCTGATGTGTACCTGGAGTAGGTGCTGATCCAAACTTTACTGTGTCGTGCTCCTGGCTGCCTCTAGATGGTGCATCTGTGAAGGAACTGCTGGTGATTGAGAAGGAGGGCTTTTCATCGGTGCTCACACACTCCTCCTGGGGCTCTGTCTGGCTCCTGTGGTTCTGTTGGCCACTGTGGGGCCATATCGTGGGGGCAGTGGGGCAGTTCTGTTGGGCACATGCATTTACAGTGCTCTCGGGTTCCTTCTTAACCGTTTCTGTTCCTATGTGGTTCACCAGTCCAGAGGCAGAAGCTGATGGCGTTTTCCCAGCCTTCAGTCTGTTCTGTAGCTCAGCCTGCCTGCAGGAATCTGAGGCACTGTTACAGTCTACAGGTCCATTGGCTCTGGGAGGCTGAACCAATTCCAGAGGCCCATTAGGTTTCCTACAGTTCTGACATGGTGTCACGGTGCATTTGCAAAGAACTAGCCCTGATGGGCTGTCCTTGGAAAGAGAGGCCCCCTGGGAGTCACTGGGTGTACTGCAAGCTTTAGAGCAGGGGTCAGGGGAAGAAGTCCTTTCTAATGAGGCCTGAGTTTTCATGTCCTCTGATGCTCCACTTGACTGTGTATTTGCTTTCTGCTCAAAGTGCCACTCTGTTGATGAGGCCTTCTGTTTGATGGATAGGTGTCGCATGATACTGCACTGGAGAGCGATGACATCCTGAAGCCACTGTTCAACACAACACATGTATGTTTTTATAAAGAAGCAACCAGCAGTTCTGTTGAGAGGCCCTCCCCTTCATCAAGGATTCATTTATATCACACAAACAAACAGATACCAGAATTTGTCTTTTGCTGCAATTTTCAATTAATTACTCAAAGCTCTACAGTCTGTGAAAAAAACAGACTTTCTAATGCAACTGTTGCAAAGTGCCGTGAAGCAGTTGGTTCAGCTTTCAGAACTTCTGAAACTGAATTTTCTGTTACTTTCTGATAAACACAGTACACAGGATGTGTCAGTGTTTCACTCATCTACACCAAAAATCAAACTCTCTTAAAACTTCTTGTCCAAACTCTCCTCATAATCATCCAAAATGAAAAGGAAAGTGATCAATCATCCTTAACCTGCTAGGACCTGGTGTCCACATATGTGAACATCACATTTTTGGTTGGCTAGACCAAAATACTAAATGTTGCTCTACAAAGGCCTGATTTCCACATGCGAGGACGTTATACTGCCACTGTTCTATTGAAATTTAAATCGAATGTCCTCATATGTGGATCTCATTTTTCTCAGAAACAAACATCAGGTAAAAAATAAAATCTGATAATTCTTTGGTTTTACATTCATCAGGTCCCAATCAGCCCAAATAGCAAAGAGAAATTAAAAATGCATGCCATGAAAGAGTTTGGGTCTTAGGAGGTTACGCTGCTCTCCTATTAATCTCACATCCTATTACATCAGATGACACAGATTGTAGCACACAAAAGCCTGTTTCGAGGGAACTATCATTACAATCTGACTTAAAGAACATGTTAGGCAGCTGCTGGTTTCTCTTGTGCCTACCTCCTGCTGCTCAGCCTCTGTGGTGAAATGCTTTGTGGGCTGATGGTCAGGAATGCCACTACAAACCAGCTCTAGCTGGCGCACCCCTGCAGGAAGCAGCATGGGCGGAGGATTCTGGTACTGGGACTTGATGGCATCTGGCACCTGAATAAAAACACTGACTGTTAGAGACAATTTAACACTTTCTAGCAAATTAACCAGTACGTTCAGATGTGTCTAAAAATAGCATCACTTCATATACAAGTGCACAACTGCTTAAATTTCAGAAGCTGGAAAAAAGACAGAATGTCAGTATCTAGGTATTACTGTCTTAGTGTAACAGATATATTATTAAAGCCATTCATTTCCTAGATCTCCACCTGTGTTCCAGTGGCCAAGAAAAAAGGATTATATGAAATCCAACACACTGCACCGTCACACTGAGATGTACGTCTACCTTGATGGTTTTCTTGTTGCGCTGGTGAGTGGTGCGCCGGTTGGGAGCATTTTGTCGATGTACTCTACGCAGGAAGTCCAACTTAACTGCGTGCTGGGACATCCTGTCCTGGAACTGATCGAAGAGCTGACAGCGGCTGGACAGGCTGAGGCTCCTCTGATTCAGCTGCATAGCAAACAAAAATATATCAATAAAAATTTACATCAATAAAAGGAAAGGGAAAGCAGCTTTAGCTTAGAATCAGCACAGTGCATCTTACTACTAAGTGCTCCACATGGTTTGGACACATCCATTTGCCGGCAGGTAAAGCTGTGAGTGGAGGGTCCAGACAGTCCATGTGGAACAGGAGGGGACAGTAATCGCACTGGATCAATGGAGCCAACCTGCAACTCCTGAGAGACCAAATAAATAGAATTAGTACCTGCTGTCATTGCTTCAGGGCTTCGTCTACTTCTTTGCACTGTGCAGAACTGCTGACCTATTGCATGAAAAGCAGATTTTGACTGGCAAAGGGACTAGACCATTGGGATCCAGTTCATGCTGAGGCCTCCTGAAGGGCTTTCCAAGCAGCTCTTCTTTTTTCCTCCGTTTACTGCTGCCTAGAAATCCAAACAAAAGAGCAACATTGAAGAAACAGTCTAAACTGCATATATAAAGAGGTATTTTAAAGTTAGGGTGCTGAAAGAAATCATATTTTGGTAGTCATTATGACTGACTGACCTGGTAGTGCAGTGGTGCACGTGAGCTCACTCGGCAGCTGAAACTGAGTGGGGTTTCTCTCCATAGCAGCCGCTATTAGGAGCTGAAAGGGCCTCTTGAGGAGTCGCGGTGTCGGAGCAGAAACTGTACAACTCTCGAGCTCTGCACCCTGAACTTCATCCTCAGGCTCTGCTGCCTCCTCCTCTCCATCGTTCTGCTCCTCTGAGGGGGTTGGGGTGGATGAAGTGTTGGAATTTGGAGTCTCAGGTCGGCTGCTTGGCCTGCTGCTGGTTCTGCGGTCCAATAGTCGTACCTGGGCCACTCGTAGACCAGGGCCTGCAGCTCCAGCCCCCGGAGGAAGACCGTCAAGCCGCAGTGGGCCAGCGTTGAGCTCCAGCTCCACGGATGGAGAAGCAGAGCGCTTGGAGGAGGATTTCTCTGGCAGGCCGTTGGTCTGTTCAGACTTCTGTTCTCTTTTCTGTACAAAGTCACACAAAAAACCCAAACACTGATTTAAAAAGCCATCTCTTGACACTGCTGTCTTAGCAAATTATAGATGAATCTCCAACCTTCCTTTTATCTCAAAGATTCTTGAAAAAAATCATTTTAAAAAAAGCTAACAGATCATCTGCAGAGGAATGGCTTATCTGAACAGTTTCAGTCAGGTTTCAGAGTTCATCACAGCACAAAAACAGCTTTAGTGAAGGTTACAGTTAATCTTCTTATGGCCTCTGACAGTGGACTCATCTCTGTACTTGTACTTGTTAGACCTCAGTGCAACGTTCAATATTTTTGACCATAATATTTTATTAAATTATTATGGTCAAGCATAATATTTATTAGAGCATGCTGTAGGTATTTATTTCTGCAGTGGTTTGTATTAGGGCTCCCACAATTTGTCAACTAGCCACGATTACGTCGACTATCAAAATCGTTGACGACTAATTTAATAGTCAATGTGTCGTTTGAAGCTTTGTAAGACCCCGAAAGATGCAGGAATAAGTAGTAGGATTTAAGAGTGTAACAACGAAATGAAACAGAAGATGGCAGCACTGCATGTACAAGGATGCCAGCTGCCGTTAAACCCCGAAGAAGAAGAACCAGGCTGTGTCCCAATCCAGCAACCGCACGCTTCGAAGTATGCATTTTGAGACCGATTACGTCACAGCGACGCAACGACGGCTGTCCCAATCCAAAGTGTACTCCAAATGCGGTTGCCAAATGTGCCATCAATTTCCCCAAATTTGAAGTGTGGTCCGTTGTAGACTTCGTGGTCCCATACATCCCACAATTCATTGCGCAACAGTGGGTGTGGATAATTTTGCCGAAAAATACGGCAGACGGCTGAAGCAGAGCGGCCGAAGAGTAAACTGTGAAAAGTAAGTACTGAATATGATGTCACTTATTTATGTGCAAATGTTTAATAATGAAGAACATTAAAACATTACTGTTGGCCACATGTCGGCAAAGTTGTGTGACATTAGTGATGTTTGTACTTTCAGCGTCAGCTTGGTTTTAAAGCCTCTACTTTAAAATATACGCCGTTCAATAGTCGACCTTAATCTGACAGAGAATGTGATGATTTTATGGATAATTAAAGTCAGTTATACAGTACATCCACAAACACAACAAGCTGAAAGTCAGTGATGCTGCTTGGTTTGCAGTCCTGAATATCACGACACAAGCAGGATTCACTGCACTGTTAATGTTAGCTATGTTATATTGCTGCCTCTGTTCGGTGGTGTCGAGCCAAACGGACTTTAACGTGTGTTTGAACGAGCTCACGGTTCACTCGTTAAGCTGAAAGAAAGATGCTTGAATCACAGGAGTCACACATGTGTCCACTGTACCATCTGGGAACTCTTCTTGTTTAGCACTCGTAATAACACAAACACTAAATCCTCCTTCTCTTGTGCTGTTTTGTAGCAGTGTGTACACCTGAGACTGTCACCTGTCTGTCTGTCCTGCACTCTCTCTCTTTTTCTTTCTCTCTGGTTGTGGAATAAAAGTATGAACATGTCTCAGCCTCAGATACTCAACTAATCAAAGTGATGTCATAAAAAAAATGAACGAACAAAACATTTTTTCTCCTTCATTTCTGTCAAACAATGCTGTATGAAACGTTTCTCGCGGTTTGTATCATGGTTGCTAGGCAACCTGAGCAGCGCGACGAAGGCTAGACCGTCCCATTTCACAACCTCTCACTTCCGCACTTCTCGTACTTCCTAGTACGCGCCGTTCCTAGTACGCAAACTGTGAATACTCTGAAGTGTACGGCCACTGGATTGGGACACAGCCGCAGTCTCCGGTATCATAGCTGTGTCCAAATTCAGGGGCCGCACCCTTTGGAGACTGCATTTGGAGGCGACACGAGGAAGGCTGTCCAAATTCGAAGACTCCGACAAATGCATCCTTCATTTCCCCAGATTTCAAGGATGGGTCGGGTGTATCCTTCGTTGCCCAACCTATCCCAGAATTCATAGCACGGCCCAGCCAATTCCAGTTTCCAACAATGACGGCAGCTACTTAATTTTAATATTACTCTTTGTGGGTCACAAAATAAACTTTTAAGATATTTTCAAGTGAGAATTCAGCTGTCTAAACTTTAAATATCTGATCAGTTTATCAAGACATCACATTTTTGCAAAAGTGCACCAACATTTTCGGAGACATCTGTTACCCACCAGCTCGATAGCTAGCCGGGGCTCAAGGCTCACTAGAGCCGACGAGAACACTGAACTCCTGGCACATCGTTTTCAGACCCCCCGCGGTCTAAACATGATATATAAGTCACTTAGATAACTTAAAAATGTTGTTGTTTGGCTTTTTCCAGTGTTTCATGTGTTCCTGAGTAAGTTGGCTTGGCTGAGATTAAAGTTTTTTCACACAGCTGAAGAAAAATCAAACAGAAAACAGATTAAACAGAAAGTTTGAGATGGTAGAATTTACTCCAATGTCCTGTTATATTTTAGTTAGCAAGGAGCAGACGGCTATCTAATAGACTCCAATTTGTTCATGTGAGTCCGCTTCACACACCAAGGTTAATTATGGATATACTAGGACCAATTCTGTTTACATTTTAAATGCTTCCCTTAGGCAGTATCATCAGCAGTATCATAGTATACATTTTCACTGCTATGCAGAGGACACCCAACTTTATTTATCCATGAAGCCAGATAACACACACCAATTAGTTAAACTGCAGGAATGTCTTAAAGACATAAAGACCTGGATGGCCTCTAATTTTCTGCTTCTAAATTCAGATCAAACTGAGGTTATTGTACTCGGCCCTGAAAATCTTAGAAATATGGTATCTAACCAGATTCTTACTCTGGATGGCATTACCTTGGCCTCCAGTAACACTGTGAGGAACCTTGGAGTCATTTTTGACCAGGATATGTCCTTCAACGCACATATTAAACAAATATGTAAGACTGCTTCTTCCATTTGCGCAACATCTCTAAAATTAGAAATATCCTGTCTCAGAGTGACGCTGAAAAACTAGTTCATGCATTTATTACTTCTAGGCTGGACTACTGTAATTCATTATTATCAGGATGTCCAAAAACTCCCTGAAAAGCCTTTAATTAATCCAAAATGCTGCAGCAAGAGTCCTGACAGGGACTAGAAAGAGAGAGCATATTTCTCCTATATTGGCTCCCTGTTAAATCCAGAATTGAATTCAAAATCCTGCTCCTCACATACAGCATATGTAAGCATATAGTTGGGCTGGATCAGTTGACCCTGAATCCTCCCTTAGTTATGCTGCAATAGGTGTAGACTGCTGGGGGACTCCCATGATGCATCGAGTATTTTTTCTTCAGTCACCTTTCTGACTCACTATGTGTCATTTTTTTTCCTTCCCACTGTCACCAAAGTGCTTGCTCATTGCTTTTCTCTGCATGTTAGGGCTGCACGATTAATCGTTAGAAAATCGCGATCTCGATTCATACTTATGTGCGATCTCATTTCCAAATGACAACGATTTAAAAAAAAAAAAAAAAAAAAAAGACGACGATTGTACCGCATTTTGATCCGGGACGTAATCTGCATGAAAACAAGCGCTCACTCTTCCTGCTCAACAAATGACAAGGGCGGAGCCTTATACCACGTGATACAGAAGCTGTGCCGTGTGATGCTAAAATTAGCAGGGAAAAAACAACGGAGAGCACGTCAGGGATGACGAGAAAGTGACAGGAGAAAATCCGTCCCGGTCAACCACCCAAACATCAATAACGGGAACCTTATACAGCGCTTCCCTATACCCGTCGAACTCCCGCAGGCACAAAGAAATTACGGAGGCTATCACTTATCACCTGACCAAAGATATGGCTCCCATCAACACTGTGCAAAACGAGGGATTTAGGAAAATGATCAACACCCTAGACAAACGCTACACAGTGCCGTCCCGCAACTATTTTTCTATTGTTGCACTACCTGCTCTATACACGCAGCGTCGAGCAACGGTGGAGACGGAATTTCAAGCAGTACAACATTTTGCGGCAACAACAAAACGTGAGACATTTGTTGTTTTTATGTTTATTTATTGTTTTTATGTTCAGTCTCAACTGTTACGAAGTTGATGTGCAGTTAATAAGTGCAATAAATATTTATACTGGAAAAGAAAATCGTGAGAGAATCGTGATCTCAATTCTAAGCCAAAAAATCGTGATTCTCATTTTATGCAAAATCGTGCAGCCCTACTGCATGTATTATTGTAGGGTAAAATATTATTGTGATTTGGCGCTGTATAAATAAAATTGAACTGATTTATCAGTACATAGAACACACTCTCCAGGATACATTTCAAAAGCAGAATGAATCAAATGTGTAACACCACATCTGTCACTCACCTTCTTTCGAACATTGCAGCGATGACACATCCATTCCCCTGGAGGAAGCATTTCTTCACTCAGAGGTGGGTTGCTGTCGTAAGAAGACAGAAATTAAATATTTAATAAGATAAAATGAATCACAATTTCTAATTCCCATTTCATTCAAATGAAAAACTCATTTGATCCCATTGTTTTGGTATCAAAACAAAAGTCTAGCTTCTTCTGTCTCCATCTGGTGGGCCAATGGCTGCATTACAACAAAAGCATCCACACAGTGCAAAGTAATGGCAGTTACCAATGTTACATTTTCATTACAGTAGCTGACACATTCATTAATAATCAATTGCTCCCAATGTTTTACACTATATACTAGAGGTGGGAATCACCATACATCCCACGATACGATATTATCACAATACTTAACACACGATACGATATTATTGCGGTTTTTTAAAATATTTTGCAATATTCTGTACATAAAGGTAAACTTTATCAATATTCATTTATCTAATATCAAAGTCTCACACTCAGTCTTTCTCTCATTTCAGTTTTATTGTTGACAAACTGAACGGTTTGTATTACAGTCTAGTCCAACTTAACTGAATTCAACCATCTGGTACAATTATAGCTATTCTGAACTATGCAATTTATGAAAACTATGCATCCCATTCAGCAACTGAAGAATTTGAAAGTAAATTAAAACAAAATATAATTTTACATTAAATAAAAAAGTTTTAAATGTAATTAAAATAAAACATGTCTTAAATTAAAATAAGTAAACTGTCATGTTTATTGCTGCCAAAAACAAGTTAAACACATTTGGACAGTGAAGGAATGTCAGGATTCTTGCTCAGAAAAAGGATCAACATGCTCTGAAGTCATATAACAAAATATCGATTTCTGCTGTCCCTGTATAGATACATTATTAGCAAACAAAATATCACGATACTACACAGTATCGATCCCCCCCCCCCTATTACATACTGCCCCCATTCAAGAAAACTTTCGTCAGATCCACCTCATTTCACCTTACCATTTTTTAAAATTATGTCTGGTTAACTGTTACCTTGGTATTTCCATCACTCATCTGCTACTTGCAACCACCATCCGCTTAACAGTTATTCATAAAATTACACTTAGTGACCAAACTGAACCATCTATCTATTATGCTTTGTTACTCCTTTCTTTTTAACTTGCATTTTTAACCATGGTGGTGCAGTGACTAGCACTGTTGCCTCACAGCAAGGAGCTCCCTAGTTTGATTCTACCACCTGGCCGGGGCCTTTCTTTGTGGGGTTTGCATGTTCTCCCCGTGTTTGCGTGGGTTCTCTCTGGGTACTAATAGTTTGCTTGTAGTAAGCTTATTTACCCTACTTTTTCTCTTTACTCATTATTATTTTTTAACAATTTATTCATTTCTATTGGCTGTTTGTTTCTATAGTTTCTAGTCAACTTTAAACTTTTTTGCTGATGCACCCGGTGTATGAATTCATAATTGCAGAATTTAGCATAAAAATTGGACTAAGAAATACAAAACATATCCAGTAAAATGACGACAATAATACATTCCTCCACAGATTTAAAAAATGAAACAAGTTTTTTTTAAATGATACGTTTGTGTTTGAAGTGGTCACATGTGAGATGCGCTGTGCATGGCACAACTGAGTTGTCACCCCATGTAACATTGTCTTTTACATTGCAGACATCAAAGCAGCAAAATTCGTCAATACATATTTAAAATCTGAAGGCGTCCACAGGTGTGGCTATATATGTACAGACGGGTTTTATACGGTTTTCAGGTGACAGTCTGGACTCAATTCTTCCAAATACCAAAGTAATACAGAAAAAAATGATACGGGTATTTATTTATCGCTGCGGCACCGAAATTACCTGAACAAACGCTGTTATACCCGTCCAAAAAAAACTGCGGAATATTTCGTCCGTATTTTTAATGCACCCCTTTTCCATCAGAGTTGATTTTAAAGGTTTGTAAGATGGCGGTGGAAGAAGGGGGGGAAAGAGCAACGAGGTCGCCATATTGTAAACAGAGGCTACATTTTTACCAGCAGCTCCGCTGGCTGCAGCCTCGGCAGGAGGGGAGGACCGACTGCAAGCTAATTCAAGCCTCTTGCAGATACGACATATTTAAGCATTATTTTCAAACTCCTGTGTGTTATATTTTCATTAACGACGCGTGAAAATAAGTTTGCTATACACTTTCAAACTATATAAAGTCCAAAAGTCAGTATACAAGATAGACGACTGGGATAACGGTGCACAGTCCTCCCAGAGCAAGAAAACATTCTGCTCTGTTTGCTCTGTTACTTTAATTATCAGTTCCTATCTTAGATCACCAAACGTCTTTTAATTAACTTTAACTGGTTTATTTCCTGAGATTCTGAAAATGTGTGGAAGTAAATTTGACATGCAAGCAGCTTCCAGAGAAAAATGGGAGTTAATAATAAACCTTACAGAGTGCAACACAGCGGCTAAAGCCGGCCTCCATGGTTAACGTGAACGGAGAACACAGCGGGAATTTCGGAAGAACAATTAATCGTTAATGTTGACTTTTCATTGATATAAGCGTGAGCTTTTGTAGCGAAAAAACTATCAGGCAAAATGAAATCATTTAACAGATCGTTTCTTTACACATTTCAAATCATGTGTCTATGAGAATCGGAACCACAGCGAAACGGTAACCGAGGACAATCACTGGAGTTAGCATTCAGCCATCTTTACACATAACTGACGGGGACTAGCAGTTATTTCCGCTTGTTTTACTGACTCTGTGCGTGTTCTTCAGTCAAATAACTTACCAGCACTGGAGATGGAAAGCTGCAGGACAGTGGTCACAGCACAGCAAGTCTCCCCCTTCCCTGCAACTATCGCAGGTGTCGTGGTTAGTCGCCCTGCCGCTCCTCCGGACGTCCCTCACCAGTTTCCGACTCCGTTTCTCTACCTCATCTGACTTCGGGGGCGCCAGTAGTGTTTGAATTTGCTGCAAAAGTTGTTCAGCTGTTTAGTTTGACATCGCGGCTAGTGTCTAGTGTCCGCTGTGACGTTTATAGAGAGCGGTAACAGTAATTTGTGGCCTCCGTTACCAAGCCGAATTAGCTAGCTAAGAGCTTGATAGCGGGCTATAGTGATGATGACAGCTGCGATTCAAATTTGGTAAAATTTATTAAAGTGTTAGCAACAGAGGAATGTTTCGCTTAATTAAGGCCTTAGATATAGCAGCCTTACCTCCATTAAGCCCCCAGAGGTATCCAAATCGTACACAATCGTTGGGGTCTCCATTTTGTCCCACATTCATCCAGAAACAGACTTTGCAAAAGGAATTTGCGAACCAAGTGCCTCGGTGCTCACAATAACCACGATAAATCCTGTAAGAGATTACTTCCCGAATGTTTTCGGTCAGAGGATGTCTGGTAAATCGACGTTAGCTATCGTTAGCTGCCCAAAGGAGCTAGCTAGGCAAACGTCAACCAGTCAAGGTTGTGAAGCTAGCGGTCTCACTAGCTGCCGTGGTTGGCCATAAAAAGGTAACAAAAATGACGTCTAACTATGTAGTTAAAATACTGATCCCTTAGCACCACTTTTTATGTGTAAGTGCCACGAAAACATACAGAATTTTCTATCAGTAGACTACTGCTCTTAGCTACACAATCCATCTGCGGCCTAGCTGGCCAGCCATGATTCTTGTTTCTGCTCCTGCAAAAAGGAGCGCTGTAAATCTGCAAAGCCCTCCGCTCCCATTGTCAAAACAAAATGTAACCAAACAATCCAGGAGAAAACTAGATGTAGTACGGCCCAAAACCTGGTTTCCGACAGCGTCCGGAATGTATAATCCTCAAATCAAGTATGTGGAAATGCAAATTTGGTTGATGTTATTGTTGTGAAAAGGCTGTGCATCTACACTGGCTGCTAGCAACATCCTTACAGTTGGCGCAACCGCGCACACCGGACACGCATGCGTATTGGAACGGATATAGATAATTACGGATACATTATAACGAAGCGGTAAAACATTGTCTACACGGTGTTTTGAGTGGCACTGACGTTTTGAAATTATTTTATTTGCTATGACTTTCCCTGTCGGTTGCCTTATGGCACTACTCATTACTATTGTGCTGCTACGAGAGTAGCATTAACTGCTTCTTGTTTCAATAGCTTTATTGTTTGTTAAAGAACACGACTCGTGTAATTTGCACTTCTGCTACAATAGCGTTTCAGCTGCTCAAATGACCATCTTAATTCTTCTTCCGCTTGCTCAACGTGTAGTCTATTTCAACATGTAGTCTATGTAGACAGCATCCATCCATTCTCTTCCGCTTATCCTTATCGCGGGGTGGCTGGAGCCTATACCAGCTGGATGACAAGTCAGTTAAGCTAACAGAAATGTTTAGATCAATTCAAACCAATTTAGTTTTAATTACATAGCACCAAATCACATCAGCTGTCACTGTCCTCAAAGCGCTTAGTTATCCTTCTACCAATCAGACTTTTCTGACAGAGGGCATTGTGCATTTTGCAATTAAAGTCCTCACTGGGTTAAGCTGCTGAAGTCTGAAACACATTCTTTAATTAAGAGAGGACCAGATTGTGCAAAGTGAAACGCTGAAGTAATGCACAGATCATTAGAAAATAAAGACATCCAAAACATTAACAAATCAATAATCCACCATTATATTCTCTTAAACCAAAGATTTATTTAAGAATGTATGAAGCCCTAATTTACTTATTTTCCATCTAGCACTTAAATAATATAAGTTCTCACATAAATAAAATTTGTATTTATTGCAGGTTTATCTGGTTTTTGTTAACCAGATCACACCAACTATAAAGTCTGACCAGATCCCAAAACACTACATGTAGGGTAAAGAATATGTTTGTGTGGGACACCTTACTAATGCTGAGAGGTGATGAAAACTGAATCTAGAAACAAAAAACAAAAAAACTATGCTAGTTAACAGTTTGGCATCAGTTATGTGAAGGATATATATACTGCCATTTATGTGAATGAAAATTTCCAATCTTAAAATAGAAGGTATGATCTCTGTTTTGTGCAACCATGTCTATCATATTAAGTATTAAAACTGTTTAAATATATTTTAGCAGCCAAACTGTCTGTTTCAGTTTTAATAGCAATTAATCCATAGGTCAGCACACGGACTGATTGTTATGCAGCACTTTTCTGCTCTTGCAGAGCACTTATAGCACATCAGTTCTGAACCACACTTTTTCATCTTGGTGTTCTCTGTTGCAAATTAGAGCACATTAAAATGTGGGACATTGCATCAATATATGGGACTGGTAGACAAGGAATAAAAATGCTGTGCAGGCCCACTTAAAGTACGTGCATGATCGCAACATCCACAGCAAGTAAAGGTCCTGCATTTAAAGTCTCGGTAAAATAGAAGTATTTAGATATTAAGGTAAAGATATAGTTTATTTATCCCAGAACTGGGAAATTTTTATGTTATAGTAGTTAATGTTTGACTTAAATCAAACAAACCTAAATAACTTAAATAAGTAGAGTGGTGTGCAGCTTAATAAAATCTTAACAATTAACAACAATAATAACTAGTTGAAAATCAAATTAGGCACAATAAAGTAAAATAAGTATAACTTTAATTAGTGATATATAACTAGTAAAAATGTCCATCCATTCATTCATTAATTTTCTGCTGTTTATCCAGGTTCATGTTGCGAGAGCAGCAGTCTAAGCAGAGATTTCCCTCACAACAGCCACCTCTTTTATCTGGGGAATACTGAGACATTCCAGGCCTGCAGAGATGTGTGATCTCTCCACTGAGTCCACTGCCCAGAATACCTCACCTATAGGAAGCGTCCAGGAGGCATCCTAGTCAGATGCCCAAACCACCTCAACTGGCTCCTTTAGAATTTTCCTTTCAAAACAAAAGCAACAACAAAAATAGAACATTAAAACTGGCTAGCTAATTGTTGGTCTTCTACTTCACCTTGTTGTCAGTGTGGGCACCAGGTACCACCTCAAAATCCTGGATAGGCACAGGCTATAGTTGTTTTCTTCCTTCTGTAGTTGATGATCTCTGGTCTTACTCAGAGATGATTTTTTCCAGACCACTCCACAAAATCATCCTCCTGCTCCTGTCCATGACGTATACATCCAAACACTGTAGAACTGTCAGAGTAGTTCTGTTACCCAGAGTTGTACTGAAAGCCTGAGATGCACAAGTTGAACAGGAATGATGAAGGTGGCACTATATGTTGTGCCAATACCCAGTGACACTGGGCAGTTATCAGAAAATTGCATGTTAGTACTCATTGTGCAGAAAAATGTTTGTTTTCATATCTAAAATATTTAAATTGATATTACTGCAAAATTAATATGCATGTCAAATCAAATCAAATCACTTTTATTGTCACATCACATGTGCAGGTACATTGGTACAGCACATGTGAGTGAAATTCTTGTGTGCGAGCTTCACAAGCAACAGAGTTGTGCAAAATACAATAACGTAAACAAGCAAAATACAAGAATGGCTACATCTGAAACTAATAAATGGCTACATCTGAAACTAATAAATATATGTACAATATATAATAGTATATGCATTTCTGGATGTGTATACTAAATATTTTTCTATGTTTGTGTGTGTGTGTATACACATATTTTACAAATTAGTAAGAGTAAACAGTAAAATAAAATATATAAAAATATGTTGCGTTATATTTAATTCATTTTAACCACTTAGGTTGTTTACTCTAAATCTATGCATCTTATTCTATATGGTAATGTAGCATTATCCTGCTTTAAGAATCATATATATTTAAAAAGTTCAGCAAGTTCATACCTTTGCCTTCAACTCTTTGACATTTTCTAGCAAATCTAAGAAGGGCTTTATATATATACTGGCTGTTTTTTTTAATGGGGCTGATTCTAAAACCTAAAAATGGTTGCCTTGGAGAGAGGAAATGTTAGCAATTATAATGTATAGTGGACAGAATTACCATGAATGATGGGTAATTGCTAACCCTTACCAGCAGAGGGAGGCACTGCTCAGTTGTATTTGAGTAGCTGGCAAAATGAGTTTTCATGCTGGTAGTTAGCTTATGTCAGGGGTGTCGAACTCCAGGCCTCGAGGGCCGGTGTCCTGCAGGTTTCAGATCTCAACCTGGGTCAACACACCTGAATCACATGATGAGTTCATTACCAGGCCTCTGGAGAACTTCAAGACATGTTGAGGAAGTCATTTAGCCATTTAAATCAGCTGTGTTGGATCAAGGACACACATAAAACCTGCAGGACACCGGCCCTCGAGGCCTGGAGTTCGACACATGTGGCTTATGTGATTTTGTGCACAGAAATATATGACATTCCATTTTAGAAATGTAGTCCCATGTTCCAATTAATTTTAATTAAATTACTAATGTTACTAGCCATCACATGTTGTACACATGTCCAGCATGACCATTCACCAGGCTACAGTTTATTGAACATTTTAGTGCATATATTAATATGTACATTAATATGTAGTACAAGAATGTTGAAAATGAAAAATCTTTTTTACAAAGTGAATTTTCAGTTATATTTTTAAATCTACATATTTTGATCACATTTGTAAAAGCCCTTAAAAAGTATTTAGTTGCCGACTTTAACCTCCTAGGACCTGGCGTCCACATATGTGGACATCACATTTTGGGTTATTTAGACCAAAATACT